AAGATGCTTGAGGATCCCTTCTGATAGCGGGTTTGAGTGACTCAGTCCTTTGACACACCAATGCAGGCATTCCAGAGGAATGCAGCCCCTGCATGCCAGCCTTCAGCAGGTGGGTTTTCCCTTAGATCTGTCCCAGTGCTGGCTGTGGGTGTGTGCATGTGCACACAAGGTAGGTTGGGCTGTCTCAGAGATTTCCCTGCCCACGCTGCCTCTGCAGGAGCAGGGCTGTGGAGGTTTCCATTAGATTTGTAAAAGTGCCAAAAAACCCCCTCCACAGTCTGCTGGGAGAATAATTAGAGTTGGCAAGTTTGCTCAACAAGCAGTTCTTGTACATAGTATTAATGGGTGATAGGTAATGTCTGTGGGTTTTTCACTTAATAATGCATGGAACCTCCTAGATATTCCAAGGATCTCTCTCTGGAGTTGTGCTTTGTGATCACAGGCATAACTAATGGTCAGGAGTGATTACATACTCATTAAAACTACTTAAGAATCTCATCTGTCCAGGAAGGGAATGCCAGGCTCTGCAGCAGGAGGCAAGGGCTTGTCCCTGTTTCATTTCAATCACACCCATTCACCTGAAAAACTCTGCTTTGCACATCAAACAGGATCCAGGATTCATAAGGATGATTCTGATGTGTCAGAATTAGACCTTGAAGCTGCCATCTTTGGTGAATTATCTTCCCCTTCTTGGCAGCCAATGGATTTGACCAGAAAAGTGTAGAAGCACATTCTTGTTCGGCGCCTGTCCGAAGCAGCAGTGTTCCCACAGGAGGTGGGAGTTTCTTCATGTGACGCATTTTGTGTCTTCTGTCTGCACCCAGCAGACAGAATCCAAAACCTCTGGAGAGCCTATGGGAAGCCTGTGTTTCTCTGCCTCTTTTTCCATGGATTTAGTCTGAAAAACCTGTAGAAAAATGAGACGTTCATGGGCTGGGGAGTTGGGCCAAGGGCTGGACCACTCAGAGATGATGATGGTGTGAGGGTGGGCAGTACTCACTGAGGTGTTTGCCCCATTAGACTGTCAGATACTTTATCTGAACTAGAAGCAGACTCTGCAGGAGGAAGGGTTGTACACTGTATAAAAGGGAATTTTGTTACTGGTGGCAGCAGGGTCTTGACCACTGTGACACAGAACATCCCATTCACCCATGGATGTTCATTTTCTGGTGTCAGGATGTGAATGAGCCCCTTTCCAAACCCAAGCTGAAGCACAGCAATACTTTAGTGAGTGTCAGAGAGGACAGCAAATCAAATCTGTGCTCCTGAGCCACGCTGCCATTGTGGGAAGCTTTGCTGATAGTTGTGAATGTCACTCATCAAAACGCCCTCACACAGTTCTGATAAGTCCAAATAATACTATTTTATAGACAATGTCACTGTCACTGCAGAGGGCACAAAAGTCATCTTTTAAATTCACTTCAGATGTAATCTGAATGCACCTGTGTTGTCTATGAAGTGTTTTCTGAACACAACCAAATAAATTTGGTGTCAGCTGCCACAGGAACTGTCCTTCTGAATAATCTCCTGTGTTGTCTAAAATGATTGCATATTTCAAACACATAGGTTGGCACTTCATTTGTTTGTTTGTTTGCTTGCTTACTAATTTTTAACAGAGTTACTACCAAGTTGCCTTTACTCATTTGTATTTCCAGACTTCTAAAGTCTCCTTGTGTGTTTTGCACTTTCTAGATGTGGTTCATTCATTGTATTTAAATGATTTTTATATGTGGGGCAAAGCAGCACCTGGCCCAAGGTGTGATGGCAGAAAATGTCCCCTTCTAGTAGCCACACTCCATCGTGTGGCAGAGTCACTCCTCTAACATTCTTTTTAAAAGGGAGGAAGAAATGTGCACAAATTTTGCCGCACCAAAGTAATGAAACATTTGAATTCTACCTCAATGCCTTTGAATCTGGAAAGCTAAATATAGAGAGGGTAGAAGTGAGGGCAACTGTAAACAAAAAATGAGTACATGGGATAAATCTAAATCCAATCTGTGGCACTTGTCACACCTCCCCATCAAACACCACCACTCTGTTGGCTTCTTTTGTGGTTGTTGGGGATGATGGTCCAGCATCCAAATCAGGCTCTTGATGAGGTCTGAGCAGCCCTGGAAACAATGGCAATTACTTCTAATAAGGTCACAAGCTAATGAAATATAAAAAGAAAAGTCTCATAATTGCACTCCAAAGAAAGTGTTTGCAATCATCCCTGCACATCTGATACCCCAAATATCCCCCCTGTGCCTAGCACGCATATTTATGGCACAACTCTCACACCTCTTGACTTCCTTACACAGGTGCTTTCCAAACCTAAGTAAATATGAATTTTGTGTTCAATTTGCCACACAAATCACTAAATTAGATGCACAGGCAGCTTCTACTGCGTCACAAGAGCTTTTTGTAATGGTTATTTCATACTGCACTAGTTATTTTTAATAACGGAAGATGTTCTTCGGAAAGTTTGAGAGCTTTCCAAGAAAGGATTACAGCTTGAGTCTGCAAGGTGTTGAATTCATAGGATTTGAGTCAGGGAAGCATTTCTAGGGCTTATAAGTACAGAATTATTTGGCATTGCTTTGCTGCAGTGATTAGGGGGATGTCATGCTCAGGGCTTTGGGTGCAGTGTGGCAGCAGGAGCAGGCAGCAGGGGAGAGTCAGGCACCCAGCACTGAACACCAGCCACAACCACCAAATTGCCTTAACATTGTCTGGCTTCTACCTGACAGAAATAGTGCCATAATCTTAAAGGCAGTGTAAGTTTCTTTGACAGGAGTGAGTAGGTTAAATGAAATACCTGCTTTGTGTTAGAAGAATTCTGAAGCCTTAAAGACCTACTTATCCAATGAAACGTTTTTTGCCCTCAGGGGCAGCTTCACAAAGGCATCCTTTCCAGAGGATTTTCACAGATAGTTGAACAGAACACCTTTTAATTAAAAATCTTACCTGTATTAACAAAGTTTTATGACCTAAAAAGCTTGCTTGGGGTTTCTGAGAGACGAGGAGACGAGGAGACGGAGTATCGGCTCCTGTCATAAGGACAGCTGGGGATCTGGGTCATTGCACTGAGGATTAATTGGTACAACCTGGTGGAAAGGTATGAAAATCATCTTGTCAGGTCCTTGCCAGGTCATTTTGCACAGCTTTCAGACTCCTGGGCCCACACAACTGGAGCTCTGAGTCAGGCTGGCCCAGACCACCAAGGATATCAAAGGAATCCAAATCAACAAGAAGATGAGGTTGTGACCAAGGGTTCTGTGATCATGTGCATGGAGCCGGGGCTAGAAACCCTCAGGGGATAACTCCTTACTGAATCAAGAAGCTGCATTACACACACAGGAAAATGCAAACTAATTTAATTTTTTAAAATAGTTTTATTAAGTATATGACAGAAGGCGTATTGGAAAACATTCATGACCTTCTATTAAGGCCTTTTTAAATGAAATATCACAGATATATTTGATAGAAATAAAGGGTATTAAAAACAAGCTCTGAAGGCTAATTATTTTTTAGAGATTTTGTTTTTTTCAGAGAAAATAAAAGTTACAACATAAGGCTAAAATTTAAGTCCTACTGAAGTCAAAGACCACTATTCTTCAAAAAAACAAAAGAATTCACAGAAAAAGTTTTGTACAATAAGACCAGAATTATCTAATTTTAAGAGTACAGGGTATTTATGAAAGTATTTTTACAAGCCTTTCTTCATATTGTGTACACAAGTGACAAGAAAATACAGTTCTTCGAAGACAAAACCATGAAAAAATATGATCTGACCACATATAGGTACCATTGAAACAAAGAAAAAGGAGAACTAACTTCTGGACAAGTTTTAGCTTTGGATTTGGGTGATCTGCCTGAAAAGTCCTTGTTTTCATCTAATCCAATCCATGAAATTCCACAGAAGTCTGATGACTCAACTGCATGATGCCATGCTCAGCATCCACGGCTCTTGGGCATCAGCTGCTTGGTATAAAATACTTTAGAGTGCAAATCTTCCCAGATCAAAACTGCCACCACAGGATGAGAGCCTCCCACGTGGTCTCAGCTCCACCTCTGCATCACTGCCCTGGCAAAGTTTACTTTGTGCAGCAGGGTGGCATGAGGCCAGCAGGAGCTGCAGTGCCAGCAGCAGGAAGGTGCCCACTCCTGCCCAAACAAGGGGGAGGCAGCTGGGTTTGGATTCCCCCCAGGATGGATGCAGCTGAAGCAGGTTAAAGAAAAAGCTTGGCACGAGGTCCCAGCTCTGAGACAGTGCCCAAAATCACCAGTTGTGATTAGTGTGAGGCACACAGCGAGCAGAGTGCACTGTGCACAGGTTTAATGCACTGCTATCCATTGTATTCCCTTTTTCTAGCAAGGGGATACCTGTGCTCAGCAGGGCTTTTGGGCAACTCTGGGCAGTGGATTCCATTGCAGCTCTGGCATGCCTAAGCTTTATTCACTGATGCAAGGATGCCCAAAGCTCCCCTGTGCTTCAGTTCTTCATTTGTACAATTAATTAATAGTGGCAACACTTACTGTCTCACCAGGGTGTTGCAAAGAGAAAGCTCACTAGAAATGGTAAGGCACTCAGAAATTGGATAATAAGCACTTTGTAACCTCCTAGGGAAAAATTAAATTTGCACTGTTGGAATGTAGGTCAAGGGTTAAGCTTAAGATTAAATTTCTGCCCTGCACAGACAAAGCACCTGAAAAGGACTCCTGTCTCATGCCAGCCTCATCCTGCCCCCCTGCAAAACATCACATTTCCCTTTTCTCTGGGAAATGGGGAATATCTAAAGGAAAATCTTGCAGGACCTTTGGTAGGCAAGTGGATACTGCAGTGTCCCAGCAGTTTATGAGAATCAGGACTTGTTTCTGTTCTAGTCTTCTCCTGCAACAAAGAAGAGGATGCACATGGCAGAGAATAGAGTAAAATTTTAAAACCTAGTGTGATTTCAGAGCTGGTGTTCACTTGAGCAACCCAAAAGTCATTTACCATTCAGCCCATGAAAACAGGTTTAAACTTCATTTGTGCCATTCATTTCCTTCTTTAATCCTTCTCTCTTCTCTTTCAAAGGTTCCAGCTCAGGCCCATCCTGTATGGAGTCTTTGTTCCAGTTTTTTTTGCCTTCGTTTTCTGTCCTTACAGATTTAGGATCCTCTTCTTTTGCCTTTCTTTCCTTCTCCTCCTTGGCAAGCATACGATAATTATAATAATTCATGATGAACAGAAAGGTTCCTGCCAGGACCATCACAGCTCCACATTTAATGAACATATATTTATAGTCCCCAAAGGTATCAATAAGAATTCCTGTAAAATATAAATTAAAAAAAAAAAAAAAAAAAAGAAATTTAGAGATGAAGGCAAAGGTATTGTGTTTTCAGATCCTGTATATCAAGGAACAGCCTTGGGGCTTTAGGATAAAATATTCTCTGAACTTCTGATCTCTTCCACAAACATTCTGAGCCTGCAAATACTGAACATGTGCTGCACTACACAGCCTGTGGGTAGCTGACATTGGTGCAGGTAATGCTCTGATAATTTGCACAGTTCAGTAGAAGGGGACAGAACCTACACTGCAAAGTCTGGACCTTTTCAGTGCACCTTTTTTTTTCCATGCTCCTCTGATCACAGAGCCTGCAGGCAGCCTTTCCACTAACTCCAATGATCAATTACAAGGATGTCCATTTTCCATTTGGCTTGGCAGCCAAAAAGCAGCAGCTTTTGGGAAAACTTTCATGAAAAGGCACCTGCCCACTGGGTCTCATCTCAGGCTCTTGGCAAAGACCCTGTGATTTACCCACCACGGGTCACCCACCACCATTAGAGGAGGCTCAGCTTTTGGTCACAGCTGCCCTTCCTGCAGTTACACTCTTGATCCAAAGAGGAAAGGGCACAGCGTGAAACTGGAAAACATTTGTTCCAGGGAAAGCAAAGATGATGCTGTCAGTGTCAGATAATTTCAATGCCAAGACAAATGTGACAGGTTCCTCTCAAAGGTTAATGCCTCTGCTATGGAGTTACAGAGTAATTGAAGGGAGATGGCTTAATTGAAATGTCACCGTTCTCCATTATGTCAAAAGGTAATGCAAATCTTATTGGGATTATGATCCTGAGCATTAATTCCCATTTACTGGGCAACACAGACCATTCTCAACATCCCAAATCCTAATTAAAGTAAGACCCACTCCTAACCTGGCCTTCACAATACAATCTTCCCTGAAACTGGCCCATCATCCCTTAGCTCTCTGACGTTTTGGAAAATGTTCTCCTCCTCACAGAGAGGGACCTTTAATTACATCCCAATTGACCCTTAATGTTGAAAAGCTGATGATTAATTATCCCAGTGAATTGCACTAACAAGGGTTTTTACGGTCACCAAACAGATTTCCTGATCACAATAATAATAATTTTTAACTGGTTTTGGTCAGTGGCTTTTCCTGAGTCATCCCTAGCTGACTTGGTACACCATTTTCCATGCACTGTGTTTTTCAAGCAACTGGTGGAACATCAACCAAATGCTAATTGCAACAATTTTTCCTTTTCTGCTCATCAGGATGACCTAGAGGTCTCCTAAATAGGTTTCAATGAGAATTTTAATGAGTAGAGTATTAGAAAATTCAACAGTAGGATAGTCTTGCCTCTTTTCCTTTGAGAATAAGATAAAGTCATAAAACACATTGGGAACAATTTACTTAGTTCATTAAAGCAGAACCCTGCAGTAGGTTATTAAAATGCCAAAGAACCAATAAATTTGCTGCTTATTAAAATGGTGGGGAAAACCCTACAAAACTAATATTACTGATTATTACACAGAACTGTTTTAGCCTCATTAGCAGTCTCTGGTCATTAACTTAATCTCCCACACAGAAAATTACATAATTCAGAAAACAGCCATTTTAAAATTGTATTTTCTTTTGTTTGTCATTAATTAAATAATGAATCTCTAAGACAGCAAGAGGATACAGCTGCTTCTGTCACACTGTATGAGCTACCCAGTAATATGAAGAATTAAACAGCTCTGCAGGATGTGTCATATGAAGCATTAGCCAGATCTCAGTTTTGAATCCAGGAAAAGGGTTCAAACTGCAAAAGGAGCACATGCTATAGAGGGAATATTAAGGCTGTTAAATCACAGGAGATCACTGGCCTGACTTATCTTTAGATGACTGAAAGTCCTCCTGGACACTGTATTGTCTCTTTGTGGGCTCTGCCTTTTGATATTTCAAACCATGCCATCCAAAATAAATATTTTTTAAAATTACTTTTAGAACAAACTTAAATCTTTCAGCTGCAATAATATGACTGAAATTCCTAAGTGACATACTCAGAGCCTTACAGACAAACAGCAAGGTTTGAGGCAACAAGAGGCTTCCATAGAACTGTTGTGTTTTACTTATATTGTGGTGGAGTCCAGCCTTTTGCAAAAGGAGTCCAGGAGGAGGTGTCTGAAGTGCAAGGCTCTTGGTGTTGTAGGAAGTCCCCACTCTGCAAGTTCATTTCAAGTGTCTGAAGGGATCCAGGATTAAAAGATGATTCTCCAAGACTCACTCCAACAGAAAGGAGGAAAGAGGAAATGCTGGAGGAGACATCAAGGACACCCCTTCCTGTCCAGTTACTAGTGGAAAAATGGTGATTGTGAGGCAGAGAAAACACATCTAGAATAATTTCATGTGGCCCTGATTTTTTAAGATTTTCTAAGCCTTCTGATGTTTACGTTCTTGTAGCAAACTTTCTCACACACTTTCTGTAAATAACTTGTTGTTTTGCATTATTTTATGGAAGAAGAGAAATTTGATGGACTGTTAGGTTGTCCAGCGTCATTGGAGAAGTGGCACTTTCACTCTCCAATCCACTGTCTCTTTTAGAAAACTATAAATGTTGGAGTCAGAAAATAAACTTCCCTTTTTCTTCACCTTGAGAGCAGCAATGTGTGCACTTGTGCTGTTTCATGTCCTATAGTGACAATTTCCCACAAGCTGTCCTTGCCAAAGCCTAAATCCGAGTGAGAGCAGGGGAGGACAACACACTCACCTCCGATGGGGGGTCCCAGCAGGATGGTGCAGCACTCGGCGATGGTGACGAGGCCCACGGCGCTGGTGAAGCGGGCAGCTCCCACCAGGTCCATCAGCGTCTCAAAGAGCATGGCACACACCATGCCAAAGGCCAGCCCAAAGAAGCTGGAGTACACGATGAGCCCCGTGTAGCTGGAGGCCAGCGGGCACAGGAGGTGGCAGGCACCGTTGAAGGCGATGGCGAAGCTGAAGAAGTACTGGATCCTCGGCCTCACCCACCTGCTGTTGGCAACGATGCCCGTGGTGGGGCGAGCAACCATGTCCACAATGGCCAGGATGGAGAGCAGGAAAGCAGCTGAATATTCATCTATGCCAGTGTGCTTGGCATAGGGTGCCAGGAAAACGATGGGGGCGAAGAACCCCAGGAACATGAGCACGTTTCCGATCAGGTAAATCAAGAACCCTCTGTGTTTAAAGAGGGAGAAATCAAGGTACTGATTGACTTTTTCAAAGCAGTCCTTTTCTCCTTCCTCTTCTGTTTTGTTCTCCATGGGGCCATCTTCAGTGATTTTTCCTTTCAGAGCATCCTTCCCTTCCTCAGTCACCTGGGTTTTGACCGGTGCTGTGCCTGGCCCTATGGGTCTGAAGAGAGCTCCTGCCACACAGCAGTTTAATAAAATTGCCCCAAGAATTAAAAAGCTGCCCCTCCAGCCAAAATTGTCAAAAAGGAATTGGTTGAGAGGTGCCAGGGTGCAAAGCATCACGGGGCTCCCTGCCATAGCAAGGCCATTGGCAATGGGTCTTCTCTTCAAGAAGTATTTCCCTATGATTATCACTGATGGCTGAAGGTTGAGAGCAAGGCCAAATCCTGGAAAACAGTTCAGATAAACAAAGGAAGATTTGAGACCCATTTCTCCTCAGCTCATTGTTTAAGGAAATTCCTGGTCAATCGGCTCACTGGTGGCTCTTCAACACAACAATCTATCTATGAAATCTATGAAAATGTTGCTCAGGGTGTCTCTGAGTTCTGGCTGCCACATTTGGGTAACCAGACCCCAGAAACACTCCTTCAGTCAGAGAACCCCCTTCCTTCTGCACTGCAAATCTCTTGGGTGGCAAAACTAGCACCAAGAGTTTGCTTCAGAGGGAACCAAAACTATTCCCTCACAAAATGCTGGTGGGTTCTGTCCACACACAGCAGCCTTGCTGGGGGAGAGGATGGATCTGTTTTTAAAAATAGCAGCTCCCAGTTTGAGGAAGGTTGTTTTGGCTTGGACAGTGTCAACCACCAAAGTTCATCCATCCAGGGCTGGCCTCCCCTTCCATGGGCACCCAACTCTGCTGCTGGGCAGCCAGACCTGCACAGAAAATAACATCATCATCCTCCTCAGCCACCCTCCTCTCCCTCCTCAGCCACGACTGATTTGGTGCTGTGAGCAGCTCAGGTCTGATCCAAAAGATTAAGAGGTCTGCAAGTACACAGCAAAACAGCTACTGAGGATGCTAATTACACAGGACCCCAGAGTGTGTCTTTTAATTAGAATTTATTTTTATTACATTTAGATATATAAATGCCATTAAAAGTCTGCATTGCTAATCCAGCTTCTCCTGCACAAGTGGAATCTGCAGGCAGAAATACCAAAGGCTGTGGTGGTCTCAATTTTCTGTGGTTTTGTTTGAGAGCACTGCCATACAGAACCATAGGATCACACAATCAGTAAGGTTGGAAAACACCCCCAAGACCATGGAGTCCAACCTCTGACCAATCATCATGAATTAGACCAGGGCACTGAGTGCCACCTCCAGCTTTTTCTTGAACACTTTCAAGGATGGTGAATCCACCACCTCCCTGGGCATCCCATTCCAAGGCTTAATCACCTTTTCAGTGAAAAATTCTTCCTGATATCCAACCATTCCTCCTGATGCCCAACATCAATAATCAATAATTAAACATCAATAGTATTTTCAAGCATTTCTTTGACATGCAGTATTTTCATAAAAAGTTCATTTTTTCAGAACTCCATCAAAATGGCATTTAAAAGTCATGCCACATATTTTCCACTCCATCATCCAGGAAAGAATGAGCCACATTAGAACAAAGCAGAAATGTAATCCTTGAAATGATTATATCAGAGAACATGAATCCTGAAAATAGGGTCATGCAGATTTTTTCTTGTTCATTAGTCGATATAATTAGTTTGTTTAACTGTGCAGTACATAATTAGGCATATTGCTTTACAGAAGAGAATTTACAAAGGTCAAGGTCCTCAAAATTAATTAAGGAACACTATCATTAGTCACTGATAGAGTAGAATCCAACTGATGCAGCAGAATCCAGCCAATGCTGGATAGTTTCAGTTTAAATGGGTTTACAAAATTATGATTTTTGACAAGTCTAAAGTTATTTTTTTAATTACTTTGAAGTTTACAACATTAAAAATAAATTGAAATGGCAACACATTAAAATAATTCTGGATAGAAAACATTCTCAGCATGAACATTTTTAGAGCGTCCATATGTTAGGCAGGGCACATCTTTGGGAAGTGCAGCCTCCTTGTAATGCCTATAGGGCCAAATTCAGGGTGACCTGGGAACCACAGAGGAAAACCACAGCCCTGGTTAGAAAACACCCTTGGACAGAGCTGAAATACAGAAATGTTTATTTTTCCACCTGAGAAGATGCAGCACAGCAGGTGAGAGTTTGCATTAAGTCCCCATTTCCCAGGCTGGTCAGTAAGGGCAGAAATTGAACCATCATTTCTACAGAGTCAGTTTTGGTAGGGACACACCACACGTCTTCCAAAGGAGGAAAATCAGCCTGGATGCCAGCTACCCACTTAAACAATAATCATCTCAATTTTTTTTATTATGTGAACATTAATTTGCCAGTCAGACAAATCTAATTTAATATTACCTCATGCTCTTCCCATTAATTAAATTTGGAGAGTTTCAAATTGAATAACTGGAATTTCAATTTACTTTAAGCTTTTGGCTGACTTTAATAGGAAATATTTGCATCCATTTTATTGCAGTTTTCAGAAGCTACAGCAGCTTTTCCATAGCTGGAATTGTTACTCAATAACCACATTTTCTCCCCAGGGATATGACAGAGAGGTCTGTCAGTGGCGTTGCAAGAAGAGAAGCAAACCTGTGCCAGAGGGAGTGTCCTTTCCTGGATTAAATACATCTCCCTCATATCAGAAGGAAATAGTGGGGCTACAGGACTCAGCTGTGTAGTTATTGATCTTGTTCTCACTTTATTAGCAAGGAAAAATCTGACCCAGGTATTTCAGTACTCAACACCTACAGCCATGGCAAAGACTCTGCTCTCAGTCCACCTGCCTCACCCAAGATCCCATTTTATTTCATGGCAGTCTAAGATCCCATTTTATTTCATGGCAGTCTAAGATCCCATTTTATTTCATGGCAGTCTAATTGGTGCTCATTGAGCTAAACTCTGACCAGTTGTTACCACCTTGCAATTAGCTTTGAAATTTGCTGCTTCTACCTCAGACTTCAGGAGAGGTTGCATGTTGAAGCACCTACTGAATGCATCCAGGCTGGCATCTGTCCAGGTGGACAGCTTGCAAACCCCATTTCTTTTTCTAAGCGCTGCAGGGAAACAAATGGGAAGAGGCTGTGGGGTTTCCTGTGCATGCAAAGTGCCTCATGCAGCCCAGAGAGCCATCAAGGACAGAGCTGCTCCACCAGCAGAGCCTGGCTCCTGCTCTGCATGCAAATGGAAACAGGCACAATCAAGCCAGCAGCTGAGATTGCTGTGTCTAATCCCTCCACTGCAAACAGATACTTCCTGCTCTGCTCCTCTGAAGTGATTTCTATTCATATGCCAAAGGCACAGGACTGTAGCAGAGACCTCCTTGTACCGAGACCTTGTTTTTACCTCCCTCCCTGTGACTTACATGAGCCCAGGCTTTTACATCAGCCTGTTTTCTTTCCAGGCTGGTAGGAAGGAGGCTAGAAAGAGTGTGATGTTTACAGGTTGCCTTACAGTTACTGCAAATCCCCTTCACAGAAGCCTCTCTCCTCATGCAGCAGCACTGTCACAGCTGTGTGATGGGCAGGTGGCTTCCTAATTGCCCTTGAATGCTTCCATGCTAGGCCTGACCAGAAAAGATACTTCAAGCTTAATTGGAGGCATCAAGCATGTTATCAGGCTTGCAAGCATCTTCCCTTCCCTGTCAAATTAATATTCCTTCCCCACACACCCCCCTGTGCCTGGGGATGATTGGTTATCAGCCAGCACCTCACCCCCACAGCTGCCCTTGCTCAGCAGGCAGGAGGAAAAGATGTGTGATGGTGCTCACAGGGGTTTTCGGATTGGGGAAGAGATGAGGATCTGACTCCATGCTTCAGAAGGCTTGATTTATTGTTTTATGACATATATTACATTAAAACTATACTAAAAGAATGGAAGAAAAGGTTTCATCAGAAGGCTAGCTAAGAATAGAATAGCCAAGAATGATAACAAAAGCTTCTGTCTCAGACAGAGTCCAAGCCAGCTGGACTGTGATTGGCCATTAATGAGAAACAACTCTATGAGACCAATCACAGCTGCACCTGTTGCATCCCACAGCAGCAGAGAACCATTGTTGACATTTTGTTCCTGAGGCCTCTCAGCTTCTCAGGAGGAAAAATCCTAAGGAAAGGATTTTCCATGAAAGCTGTCTGCGACAAAGATGCACACAAAAACTGTGCCCTGCCCAGAGGAATCAGCACAGCAGTGCAAAGAGAGGTGGGGGTTTCAGCTCTGTCCCTCAGGGCTGGCACGAGGTCACCTGTGTGCACTGAGCACTGCCCACACTCTGTGCTGGGTGATGCACCAGACCTGCAGACACGTGCAGGGACCAAGAGCAAGGTCTCTATCAACCCTGGCTCTGTTGGGGTTATGCACAGAGCTCCCTCCTGTCACCTTTTTGGCCAAGTGCTTTAGAACAGAGAGGCTGGTGCCTTCCTACAGCCCTGTTTCTTGTCTGAGTCCTTCTGCTCACCAAAGTGCATGGAATATTTTCAGCAAAGGATTTATGGTGTCCATGTGCTAATCCAGCATTAGTCAACTTAGAATCACAGAATGGTTTGGGTTGGAAGGCACCTTAAAACTCATCCCATTGCAGCTCCCTTGCCATGGCAGGGACACCTTCCACTGTCCCAGGTTGCTCCAAGCCCCATCCAACCTGGCCTTGGACATTCCAGGGATGGGACAGCCACAGCTTTTCTCTCTGCAGCCTGTGCCAGGGCCTCCCAACCTCACAATAAAGGATTTCTTCCTGGTATCTAATCTAAACTGCCCTCTGTCAGTTGAAAGTCATCCCCCCTTGTCCCTGTCACTTCCCCCTTTGCCTTCCCAGAGGACATTTGTTTAGGAGGAAATGAAGCAAGCTCATGCATTGAGAAATATTGGGAGACATTGGTTAATTTTATTTCCCATCCCTTTGTTTCTGGAGTCTCTTTCAAGGAATCTGCAAGATTTATTCATCCAATAATAACACAATTTCATTTAATTACAGTGACAGTCCTTAGGAAGAGTAAAGTTTAAGAGGGGGAGTGCTACACAGGGATTTATTCACTACTGTACAGATTTAATAAAAGAATATTGATATAGAAGAACAGGGTGACAAACTTTCTGTCCCAATTTACTTTGCTAGTGGCTGGTTTTATTGATTTTAAATGTTGAGCTCACATTTTCACATTCAGAAAGCAGCAACACTTAATGCATCTGCAGAGAGATTGGGAACATTCATTAAACCATACACCTGGCAACCTCAGAAGCCAATTTGAACTCATTGTGTCGTGCTTCCAAGCAGATGTCCTAGCTGCACTGGAATAAACTTTGGCAGTACCTTATCCAAAATAATAAACCAAAAATACTTGCAATTAAGCATCTATACCCACACAGGTGGAGAGCTCTATTCCATCTACCTTTAAAAGTAATAACCTGGCACCTGCAGGCTTTAAAGATGCTGGACTGAGCCTGTGCCTTATTCTACTTGAGTTTCCAATATGGAATTTCATATTTCAATACAGGCAATTCAAATTGGAACTTCAAGAAGGAAATACAGGGTTTTTTGGGTTTTTTTTTTTTCACAGTAGGGATATTTTTGGTCAACTCCAGCAGTTCTTGTTTTCAGATAAAGGACCTCCTCACCTCACAAGCTGGAAATGGGCAAGTGAACTGAAATCTCATCCCATGTATCTCACAGAGAGAAGATAACACACAGAAAATAGGAACAAGGGTGCTTTCTTTATAGTCACACTTGTACCCAGAAGGACTTGTTGTGCCCAGGGTAGAGCACAGCCAACCTGGGTTTGCTTCAGGGGGAGCTGAGGGCTCTGATGGGCACCAGGCCCAGCTCCTGGCCCAGAGCACTGAGCTGCACGAGGACAGCCCTGCCTGGATCCCCCATGCCATGTCCAGCCAGGAACACAGCACAGGGAGCTGCTCTTTGCTCAAGTTCATCTGGAGCATTGATAAGGAGTGTGGCAGTCATATTTTCTGGAAAAATCCCTTTGCCCAGGATTTCTCTCCTGGGAAGCTGAGAAGCCTCAGAGAAAAAGGAAAACAATATTATCCCATTTGCTTCTCCTGGGTTTTGCTGCTTTGGAATGTGGTTGGAGATTGTTTATCCAATAGGTGGTTGTTTCATTGGTTTCATGTGAATTGTTTTGACTCAGTGGCCAATCAGTGCCAACTCAGAGTCACAAGTTTTCATTATTATCTTTTTAGCCTTCTGTAAGTATCCTTTCTGTACTCTTTAGTATAGTTTTATATAGCATTCTTTAATATAATATAGTATCATAAAATAATAAATTGGCCCTCTAAGAACATGGAGTCAGATTCATCATTCCTTCCTTCATTTGGGAACCCCACAAATACAATAAAGGAGGGCCTTTGTCCCACCAGATTTTATCTCCCAAGCTTTTTACCTCTCCAGCTTTCCTGTGTTTGTGTTGGTGCAGACATTGCCCAGGCGTGCCAGCCCCAAGCCATCAGAAGGGAGCCTCACTGTGCAGGGAAGGAGGTGCTGTGTTCTCACCTGTGATGAAGCCCACGCAGATGTAGAGCTGCAGGATGCTGGTGCAGAAGGCAGCTGAGATCATCCCCACCCCACACAGGAGGCCCCCAAACATCACCACGGGGCGGCTGCCGTAGCGGTTCACCAAAATGCTGCTGATGGGACCTGGGGAAAGGGGGCAAAAAGGACCTTGAGGTTGTGTCTTCTGACAGAAGGGCATGTTTGACACACAGCAGGTAAAGCTCTGCAGTACCAATGGCCTGAGTGCTGCTGACAGCTCCTAGGGTGAGCTCAGGAAGAAAATGGAAAAGCAGAGATCCTCCACGTGGAGATGGCAGCATGTCCAGTGCCATGGGTGTGTAACCAGTGACAGCTCCTGCCCCCAGCACTTCCATGTGTCACCAGAGAAGGGAAACAGCAATAGCAAATCATGTGAGTCATGGGAGCTCCTTGATTTATGATGATGTTAAACTGCACACACAGAGCACTGACTCATATTGTGAGGCAGATATCACAAATGCTGTTGCATTTTTAATGCCTCTATTTAATGCAATTCCAATATTGCTGACCAGGACCGAAGCTTCAGCAGAACAGTTGTTAATTAAATCTTAATAGCAGTCCATGTAGGTAGGAAATATTGGGGATGATGGATTAGCCAGAGCTCAAAAGAACCAGTTTGGACTTGCATTTATGCAAAGAGGAGGTTCAGGGCAGTGCAAAATTATGAAAGAGGGAAATGGCTTGACAAAAACTGTGCACACTGAAACAAAGCGTTGAAATCGGAGGAAGTGAGACCAGTAAAAATCAGAATCACAATAAGATAAATATTAGAGAGACTTTGATGGTACCTCAGGACCAACCTCCTGCTCAAAGAAAACCAGCTCTGAGAAGGCAGAACTAAGGCAGAACTGAGAAGCCAGAACTAGAAAAGCCAAGCTGAACAGCAAAGAGCAGTCCAGAAGTCCCAGCTGTGAGATGTAAAGAAAAGATTCTGTATTACTCAAAAGTCCTGAATCCAAATGCTTCAAAAGTGATCCTGGGAATGAGGAAGGGGAATAGAGACAAATTCAATATCTGAATTTACCTGGCTGTTTGTGGTGCTACTCATCAGACAGTAATGGTGTTTCAGAGCCCAGTGTGCCTGCTTGCCTTCATTCCTGCCACTTCCACACCACTCACACACACAATACTGCAAACTGGTATTTTAAAGCCACAGGCATCTCTGAGGAGCTTGGCTGTGGGACCTACCTCACCACAGAGCCATGGTGGAGTATTTACCTTTGCTTAAATAATCTCAGTCAGAAATAGCTCCAGAGCTCTCTGCAGACCCTGCAAACCACAGAACTCCTGATGACAGGAACAAAACCCAGAAACCCCAACCCTCCCTCAGAATGGCTGACAGCATCCAAACAAGTTCTCAGCTGTTATAATGTGCAGGAATAGAAAGCAGTAGGTATGGCTGGTTTAATCTGGGGAATGAAGCCCATAGAAATAATTTCCATTTGATATCTGAGGTCAAAACACTCATAAATTAAATGCACACAATCACAGTCTCAACAACATCCCTGTAACTGTGATCTGTGATCTAGTCCCATCAAATGCACCATTCAATTAAAATTTCTGGGTGTCTATAATTACATGGAGAGTTTTTCTGCTAATCCTGTAACTGGATTCACACAGGTGCATCCTTTTGCTGCACAGAGCACTACAGAATTCAATGAGAAGTTCTGGGGAAAGGAATATACATTTGAGATCAGCACAGTGAGAAAGACACCCCCTTCTGAAGAGTTTCCCCCGGTCAGGGCCTGAACTTGCATTGTGCTTGAGCTGCTCTCAGCACGTCCTGTAACTCAATAGATTGAGCCAATGTTCCTCAGAAAGGCACCAACATATTCATCTGCAGCCTCAGGGCATGCAACTCTTCCATTTTTCAATTTTCCACATGTCTGCATTTCTGCAGAATCAATCTAATTACTCAGCTAAGAAAATGTGGTTTCCATTACCTTTGCCCACTGGCAGAGGGCTTTCACCCTGCAGGATGTTGTACCAGGGAGCAAAGCATTTCAAGCCCACAATGGTCCTGCTAAGGACAGCAGAGGACTGAGTGGGGAAGCTGAGCCTCATCCTGCTGCTGGCTCCACTCAGAGCTGTGCCTGTGGCTCTGCAGCTCCCCTGGCTCTCAGGGACCTGCTCTCCATCACCTCCATCAGCCCATGGTGAGAGCAAGGAATGCCTGCTCAGAAATACTTCACTTGCAGAGCAGGGTGCACACCCTGAGGCTTCCACTTCTGCCTGCAGCAAAACTCTGCAGCCTGGAGAACAACAGTTTGCACCAAATAGCCCCAAAAGATGCAGCTGGGATCATGGAGCCCCTGGAAGACTGATGAAATGTAAAGCACTGCCCTCAGCCCATATAAATCACTCTGCTTTAGTGCCTGTCCTGTTTAAAGGCTCTCTTTTCTCATACCTCTGGCAGATTTCCATTCTTTGCTAGCTGGTACATGAAAGGCCATGTCAAAGAGGCTGCTCCTGGTGGCAAGAGAAACACAGAGACTCGCCAGTGGGGAATGCAGCAAGCCTCAACTCATTTGTTAGCTTGTCCAATTACTTTTCACCTTGAGTTTTGTGTTTGCACAAGTGAAAAGGACCCTGAAGAGGAGACTGTAAAATCATAAAAAAGCAGCAAAATACCCTGGGCTCTCCTCTCTTCCCCTCCACAAACTCAGGCCACCTTGTCATTCATTCTTCTTGAGTCACTGAACTATGATCCAGAGAGGATCATAATGCAGAGCTGGCACATAACAAGAAATATCAATCCAGACTGGCTTAAACTCTTGCAAGTATGACAGTGCTCAAAAAATAGACACCTGAATTGCCTTCCTGTTTTCCTCAGCAAGCCTTATGAATTTTTTATGAGCTGCAAAACTTCCAGTGCCCGTGTGAAACACTGATGTATTTCTAATAGGGATTAAAACATTCTCCTCTCCCATACCTCTGACCCTGTGTGTGTATATATATCCCTTATTTGTAAGGTCTGGTTTGGCTTTTTTTTTTTTCTTTTTAACTTAACTAATAGTGTTCCTCCTTTCTGGTGGAACTTGGCCTGGATGAATTTCTGCTGCAATATTTTTGTGTAGGGCTTTCAGACAAGCAGTGAGGAGCTGAGGCCCTGACAATCTGTAACCCAGAGGCTTCCAGCAATGTGGGTTTTTTCCCCAGGTTTCACAACACTGACCTTGTGACAGTGTAAAGTGGCACAGAGCCAGTGCAAATGTTCTAGGTCTGCTGGTCAGACCATTTGATGGCCACACAGGTGATAAAACAACAACACTTTAAAATACTCAACTGCACAGACCACCACTGGAATATCTGGGACCACCAGTGCCCCCACAGCTGGGGCTGGAACATGCAGCTCAGCTTTCCCTGCTTTTCCACAGTGGCTCCAAAGAGCTCTTCCTGCCCAGGGACACTGGCCAGCACCAAAAGGACTGCCCAGATAGTTAATATTTTCCAAACTATTGTGAAAATACAAATAGGAACTCGGCATGCCAGGATTGCCACTGACTGTGGGGAGCCACTGGGGACATAAGAAGGAGTGCAATGTACTCAGAGGAGAGGGAAAGGGGGGGAAATCGTTTATACTAATGGAACAAAGTCTATTATTACACCAGTAGTGAAACAACAACAGGAGCAGGCCTGCAATTTCCTCAGTAATAATCTCACTCTCTCCACGGAATAACAACCCTGCCTTTGGCTTGGTAATTTATCCACCAGGGTACCAGCCCATCACAACAGAGCAACCTCCTCATTACCCCTGAATGAAAGCAAGTGCCCCCACGTTATTAATGAGCTGCCAGACCCCCCCAGCCTCGGGAGATGGGGGGGATCAGCAGCAGCTCCTGGTAACAATGCTCAGCCTGACAGGGAGGCAGCCAGAGAAAACACAGGGCCCAGCTCCAAACATGGGGTGGGGGAAAGGGATGAGAGGGTCAAACCTGCAGCCTTTCACTCTTTGTCATGCCAGAAGAGGCTTGGGTAGCTCCTGCTTTTGAGTGCTTGTGTCAGCAGGGTGTGGAGCCCTGCTCCTGCCTGCTGCAGGTCCCTGGAGGATAACCAGTGGTACCTGCTAATCATGAAGCCTAATGATTATTAGTCTCAGCTCCTTGGTTCAGATGGTTTGGTTTTCTCCTGCATGGGCTGAGGAAGCCACAGACCCTTCCTCAGGCAGTGCTGCTGGGGACAACATGGCCACACACTGGGGACAGGTGGCAGTGAGCACACGCCCCAGGTGACAACCACAGTCTCAAATATTCCTCTGCCAGACCTGACAGAGCAGCTTCCAAAGGCCTGTCCACGCCTAAATCACCCTGATGCCTTCTATTAGTGGTACATTACATTGCAAATAATCAATTTTAAATAAGGAGGCTGAAATCCAGCACATGCCACAGCAGCTCCAACAGCTAACCTGGCCCCAGAGATGCTTCATTTGCTTCCTCACAGGTGAGGAGAACAGTCAGCTCATTTCAGGGGTAATGGCTGCAGCTCCAGCACAATCCCTGTGAGGTGATTCATAAGCCAAGCATGGGAGAAATTGTGTGGACAGGCATTATTGAGTCATCAAACTGGTCAGTCCTGTGGTGCCTGGGCAGGACTGGCCCTCACTGGGAAGGTGTTGAGGGCAATGACCCACTGCAGCAATCCTCCCTCCCCTGCACCCACCAGGGATGCCCTTGGGAGCACGGGGACCCTGACCTCCCACCTGAAACTTGCCACAGCAGCAACCTGATGTCAAAAAAAAAAAAAAAAATGGAAAGAAGAAGAAGAGAAACAAAGCAGACAAGGCCCAAACTTCAGAAAGAGAAAGTGTTCTCTTCCTTACCCAGCAGTCTCATCTCTGGCATTTCAATTTCCACATTACCCAGCTCAGATGCTGCTCCTGCAGTGCAGGAGGAGCCACAGGCAGCAGGTCCCAAACTGGGGCTGTGGCCAAGGTCCTTTGTGTCACTTTGAGTTTAAGCAGTTAAATAACCCCTCCTGCAAAGGGACAGCACTCAGGAGTTCCCCCAGCTGCAGGTGTGGGTCTCACCATGCAGCAGATCACAGCTCAGACCTTCACAAGGTCACAACATCACAGTGTTTGAGTTGCTCTCCTGTGATTTCTTTAG